GTGCAGAGGACAAGTGGGCGGGGTGGGGTGGGCGGAGCTGGTCTCTGCGTCCATGGGGCAGGAGCAGGTGCTATGGAGACACGGGCCAGGCCGTTAAAGAAGATGTATCCTGAAATGGTCAAAACATGCAATCTCCTCGGAGGCAGCTCGGTGCACCTGAACGAGGGGCTGGGGTACAGACGGGGGGCGCGGCGAGGTGCCCCACAGAGGGCGGGGGTCTGAAGTCACCACACAGAGCTTGGCACCACGGGGGCCTTCTCCATACTCCGTGCTGCAGCTCGAGTCTCCCCGGACCCTCGTCATGGCCCATCTGCTCCGTCCCGCCTCACAAGATGAAGATATGTTTCTAGAACCTTCCAGGCAAGAACGTTGCTTTAACACGAGCCGCCAGCGGGGTGGACTTGGGAAGGGCCCGGTGCGCGTGAAGACCGGCTCAGGATTCCTGACTCCACCACTCGGTCAGGACGTGCGTTGGACAAACTGGTTCATTCTCTCGGGGCCTCAGCGTCCTCCCACGTCGAGTGGGGCTGATAAATTACTCACCTCTCATCCCTGGCATCTGGCACTCTGTGAGGGGCTGGTGTTTGTGGAGGAAGCAAATGGGTCATGGACAGAGCCGCGTGAGCTCCCTCGAGGGGCCCAATGACCATGAAGCACGACAGGAGAGCCCCGCAGAGTGGGGACTGGATCCGTACGCGTGAAGGGCCGAACGCCGTGCCTGGCCCCCCCGGCCCACGCTCAGCAAAGGCTGGGGCAACGGTGAGAACAGGCACACACGCACGGGTGGCTTTCGCTGTCCCCTTTCCTGTCTGGGAACGCCAGACCTGGGGGACTGAAAGACATTGCAAGAACCTAAAAGTGGATCTCGCACCTGTCTGTTCTCAGCACGAATCCACGATCCAAAAAGCAAAGGGATGACCCTCAGCTCAGAGACTGTGGAAATTGCTCCGTCTGTAATCAAAAGAATCCTGGCTGGCTGGTTTGAGTCCGTCGTCTGGTCCCCAAAGCCCCTATGGGGGAGGGGGGGCGTGAGGCCCCCTGGGGTGCCTGCTGTCCCCTGCGAGTTGCTGCTGGAAGGAGTGAAAAGTGATCCTGGAAATGACAAAGTCCTAACATCGGGACAGGCGGCACGCGGTTAACGAACGAAGGGCCTGATCCCCGAGGCGACGGTCACGTCCATGTTACGGTCTGTGGCTTCAGTGAACCCTCCTTCCTCCCGTTTTCAAACAGACAGCGGCCAGCGGCGGCGGCCCGGCCTGGGGACCGGGAGGGAGGGACGCGCTCCCAGCCGTGCCACCAGACGGCTGCGTCCCCGACGGGGCTCCGCACACACCTAGTGCATCTCAGAGTTCACCTTGTCCTGGAAGATGTACAGGTTGTTGGTGGCCGCGATGGCGATGATGTTCTCGGCCGGGTGCCAGGCCGTGTGCAGGATCTTCTTGGTGAAGTCCAGGCTGTCCACGCTGATGTCGTCCCGCCTGCGCTTGCCGCCCACGCACACGCGCCTGGGCTTGAGCACGGCCCGCGGCTTGCTGCTCTCCCTCGAGGCCTCCAGGGTCACGTCGCGTTTGGTGTTCCGGTCAAACATGCGGAAGAAGTTGTTGTAGGCCCCGGTCATGATGACGCTGGCGGGAGGAGGAGAGGCGTCAGGCGGGTTGGGGGAGGGCAGGGTACGGGGAAGAAACGTGCCACACCTCAAGTAACCACCCCGGGGGCTGCAGGACCTCGCTCCCTGGGGTGGGCCCCCCGCCCCGGTCCCACCTTCCCCTTGGGCTCTGGTCCTCCCCCACATCTCAGCTACCGTCTGCCTGCAGAATCCAAGGCCGGGAGCTGAGACCCTTTAAAAAAAAAAAAAAAATTTTTTTTTAATGTCTATTTTTGAGAGAGAGAGACAGAGCACGAGCGGGGGAAGGGCAGAGAGAGAAGGAGACAAAGAATCCGAAGCAGGCTCCGGGCTCTGAGCTGTCAGCACAGAGCCCGACGCGGGGCTCGAACTCACAAATCGTGAGATCATGACCTGAGCTGAAGTCGGACGCTTAACTGAGTGAGCCACCCAGGCGGCCCTAGGGCAGGGGCTGAGACCCCTTCATGCTCCGCCCCAGACACCGTAAAGAAACTTCTCCCGTACTTTCCCCTGTGTCCAGGAGAGGCCTGGCCAGACCTCCAGGCACCAGCAGAGGGAAGGCCCCTGAACTGACCCAAAGCGCCCTTCACGGCAGGGACCCAGCACCTTCCTGTTCTGAGTAGTTGGGTGACTAAATGATGTGCAGATGTTCACGGACTTTCCTGTCCTGCTAAAGGGAATTTGCCCCTTGTCCATCCACTCCTCCTCCCTCTCCCCTCCAAGGAGAAGGGGTGCCTGGGGCCTGGGAGAAAGGCCATGCGGTCTGTGTGGTAAGAGGACGGCAAGAAGGCCAGCGATCGGGGCCTGGGCCTACAGAGCGGGTTTTGGGGTTTGGCCCAGGAGAGTCTCTGGAGCAGCCGGGGGCAAAATAACCGGGGAGGCGGGAGGGGATTCTGGGAAACAAGGTCCCCTTCCACGTCCTTCAGGGGAGGTGCATACAGACTGGGATTCCTGTCTTCCCTTCGGAAGCTGAGCATGTCTCTTGGGGAGTCACTGCTCTGAGACAGAGCCCCGCGGCCCCCTAGGTGAACACGGGTTGTGCACACTTTCCACGTCTCCATTTCCCCAAGTCAGGGGGACAGTGCAGTGCAGGGGAGCAGGAAATGTTCAAGGCCGAGGTCCACCTGGACAGACCAGGAGAGCTTCTCTTATTAGGCACCTGGGCTGTGGGAGGTCAGATGCTCCTGGCATGGCTCAGGGGCCTGGGTGATGCTGAGTCACGGGCTGAACGTGACACATCTCCTGTAACGTGTCCCCTTCTTGTGGGAGAACGTGGGCTGGTAAACCGACACCAGGAGAGTGTAGCACCCGAGGCCCCAGCCTCTGCATCTCTACCCGAGACCGGGAAGCCGGCCTCCCGGGGCCTGCACGGAACGGACCAGCTGTGATTCGGTGTCACAGTTACCTCGCCTGTGGGCCATCTCTCAAGGTCAGTCCCTTCTAGAAGGAGGGGCGGGGTCGTGCGGTGGGGAGGCCCCGCTGCCTCCCTGCCCCTCGGAGTTCTGATCCTCTCCAGGAAGGGCCTTGTAGTCTTGGGTCCTGGCAAGTCCGGGCCAAGAGTTCCTCTGAGGGAAGTACTTTATGTTCCCACTGACAGCGGCTTCCGGGCCTCCCCTGCCCGCCCTGCACATGCGGTTCCCGGGGATGGCCTGCGCCCGTGAGGCGACGCTTCCCGCCAGAGCCCGCGACCTGCCGAGTTAGCATTTGGTGTCCCTCCCCCGACGCCCAGACCGCTTTGTCCGACCTTGTGTTCAGAGATCAGTGGGTGGGCGCTTGGGGACAATAAGCATGGAAAACCTCCATAAAGCGGTTCTTCTGCCACGTTCCAGGGGTGTCCAGGCAGAGCCAGGCGGGGGTCACCTGGATCCCAGCAGAGGGCAGAGGGTGCCGGCCAACCGGGTGACTGGAGACCAGCTCCACAAAGGAGCTATGCCCAAATGTTCTGGAAGGTTCCAAGGGAACCACAGGGAAAGTGCCGTGCCCCCGGGGCTGGAACATTTGGAGATTTTGTTACCATCCCCCAGGCCTGAGGGGTGAGAGGGGGAAAGGTGAGAGAAACAGAGACAGAGTGGCAGATCTGTGTGAAGGGGCTGGCTGACCGGGGCATAGTCCACTGAGAGGACAGGGAGGGAGGTGGGACAAACACCCTCTCCCTCCCTGCTTCCCTCCCAGGGTCCCCACTGGTGAAACCTGGTCAGAAGCCAGAGGGCATGCTGGCGTGTTGAGGCACCTGCTCCAATAACCGTGGGCAAGCTTCTGTGCTGCCTCTGTCTCCACCACCGGGTGGGGGCTCCTGGGGCAGGCCTGTCTTGCCTCAGAGTCCCAAGCCCTGGCTTGGCCTCATCAGGGCAGCAAAAGCTGGCCCTCAGCAGCAGCCAGACTGAACCAGACCAAGCCAAGCCCCCTGGTGCCTGCAGAGAAGGCAGTAAATGCTTCATAAATGGTAGGGAACGAAGGGCCAGAACCTTCTCTTATTCACGGCCAGACCTGCAAGTTCAGAAGGTACCTCCCCCCCCGCCCCCCCCCGGCAGGTGCTCTCTAAGCCGAATGAGTGAATGAGTGAATGAATGAATGAATTCGGCGGAAGGGTCACAACCCTTCACAACCACCCTCCCAACCACCCTCCCAAGTCCTAGAAATGCACGAAGCGGCCTTGCCCAGCCACCCCTCTGCACTTGACCTGGGACACAGCCCAGTGGGCGGAGGGGCTTCTCTGCGGCTGTGGGGGCAGAGCCGTCGGGGTGGGCTTGGGGGAGGGGCGCAGTCGAGCAGTTCTGCTTCTCTGGAGGTTTGTCTAATCTCTGGAGGGGAGGGGAGGGGAGGGTGGGTGGAGAATCCCAAAGTATTCTCTGGCCCTATTCTCTTGTGTTCTACAACTCCGCCCCCCAAACCTTCATCCCTGTGAATAAATCCCTTTGTTGTTGAGACAAAGAAATGGCATGTCGCAGGTGCATGCTGGGAGAGGCCCTCTCACTCCCACCTTCCAGAAGGAGGCCAGGCCAGCAGCCAAATGCCGTCCCTCTTAACCTGCAACTCGGAACTGAGACCAGGCCGTGGGAAGGAAAGTGGGCAACAGAGTCAGAGACCCAGAGTTGTTCTCGGGGGGAAAGGCTCACTCCCAACATCAGGCCCCAGGGAGCCCACTGGAGTCCATCCAGGTGCCAGCGGCTCCCGGCAGCTCAGCCCGTGGAGCGTGTGTACGTGGCTGGAAGACAGAGCTGGGGGCCGGGTGACCTGCCGAGGCTGGGGGGACGTGAGGGGCCGCCGTGCGTCCCAGTGCCAGAGTCCCGAGGCCCAAGAGCAGGGGCGCTGCTGGGAACAGGGCTCGTGGCTACCTCTTATAATAATGAGCAGACACTCAGGGACAACGTGACCTGTTCACAGTCAGAGGCCCACGCAGCCGGGGAGGTGACAGCTCCTGGGAGTTTCTGCACCTCATCTCTTGCTTTCTAGAACAGGGTGGGACATTTGCTCTAAGGCTCCAGGCTGCCGCGATGGGTGGTGTATGGGGCACCCCCAACCCCCGTGCCCGCCCCCGAGGGTGTACACGACCCGGCTCCTGTGCATCCTCTGGTCACCTGAAGGTAGGTGGCCTGACTTGAGCCCGTCCCCTCTACCTTCACCGCCCACATCCCCCTCACCTCTGGCCCAGAGGGACGGCTGCGACGGCTCGCTCACTGGTCTTCCTGCTTCGGTCCCTAAGCCCCCCATCCCCCATGCTAGACTCTCCCACGACACCCACCCCAGGGAGGCCCAAGGACACTTTGACCTGAGACAACTCGCTAAGCTGTGGCCACATCAGTTGCTCTTTCTTTCTCCTGAGCTTTCAGCCATGCTGTTCCCTCTGCCCCAATGCCTTGCCACGCTCCACGGGCAAATTCCTACCGCTTTCTTGAGACTTGAGAGCACCTCGTCCAGGAGGCCACCCCCGGCCCCCTCCCCTGCAGGGCCCCCACCCTCTCTCCCCCTGCCCAGGGCCCCCCTCCGGGCTCTGCTTTAGTCCATGCAGTGTAAACCACAGAGTCCTCCTAGGCAGGCACTGCGTCCCATCTCTGCCGTGTTCCTGGTGCCCTGTGCCCTCGGGGACGCCAACTGGAATCTGCAGCTCCCAGGCTGACACCTGCACGGACAGTTGGGGCACAGCTCTGCCACGTGCCCCGCAGAGGGGGATGCTCAGACCTCGGGGGTCACCGGCTGGGACGAACTCTCACCTCCCGGCCCAGGACAGCAGCCCATCAGGCCCGCCCGGCTCAGCAGACCAGGGGGGGACCCGCCTGTGGCCCTGCCAGACGCCCCCCTTCACTCGCACGACTGGTATCCATTGGTGTCAGGCGCTGGGTCCGGGGGAGGGCCCCCACCTGCCAGGAGGCCCCCAGGACATGCACAGGCAGGAAGTGCCGCTGAGCCAGATGCCCGTGGCCCCAAGCTTTACTTAGAAGGTGTTTCCTGCTTTCACTCCTTCCTCCGCCCTTCTTTACTTGTCACCCCCGTGCCCAGCCCTGGGACTCAGGTGACGCTGCTGAGATGGCAGCAAGAGAGAAAAGATTCTCTCCCTCCCCCAGGGTGAGCAGCTGGGGCACCCCTGCCCTCATCTGGCCTCACCCTGTGGCCCCCGCCCTGCACGGGGCTGCCCCTATTAGGCAGTCATTCCCAGAGCCTGCGGAGAAGAGGGATCACCTGTTGGCCGCAGACCCACTGGGGAGGCTCATGAGACCCACACCAGCCTGCACTCGGCAGCCTGGGGCCGGGGCACAGCTGTGGTTTCCAACACCCACGCTGGATGGGGACTCTGAGATCTCTACAGGGCCAAGGCCTCCCCTCCTTGGGCCCAGAGCAGCTGCCAGGGAGCTCAGCCTGGGGTCAGGAACTGGGTGTGGCCGCGGCAGGCGCTGGGCGATCTGGGACACTGGCCTCCCCGTAAGAAGTGAGGACAGAGGCCTTTCTCTCCCCACCTGCTTTACTTGGGCCTCCAAGGCAAAGGAGCGCCCCAAGCCCAGGTATTGGGAGCAGGTGCTCGGGCTCGCCCACCTGGCTCCAAATTCTAGCTCTGCCCCTAACGTCAATAAAATGGGGGTAACAAGGGAGCCCAGCTTCTGGGGAGCATGGACCAGGAGTCTCAGTAAAACAGAGCAGTGCTGGGCCCGGGAAACCCGCCCCCCCGTTATGCTAGATGCCTTGATTCTAATCATGCTCCTGGCCTGAAGTCCCACCGGCTAAGCCTGAGGCAGGACACCCAAACTGAGGAAGCAAAAGGAAAGATTCTCAGGGAAAGGCCCTGCCAGAGGCCACACTCCTCCCTCCAGGCCAGCAAGGGCAGAGAAGAGGGGACAGCAGCCCAGCTTTGCTCACTTAACCAGCGAGTGCGGTCACGCAACCGCCTGTCCTTCGGATCCACCAGGGGAAGGGAGAGTGGGGTCACTGAAGTCATTGGCAACCCCGCCCAACTGCTAATCCTCCTCCCGTTAAGATGCAGAATCAGGCTGGGACATGGGAGAGAGGGGGCCCCCTCCCTGCCTGCAAGGAGAAGGGTCCCTTTCATCTCAGGACAGCAGGTCCCAGCACCCTGCAAAGCACTCCAGGACAGAAAGGCCCACTGCTTGCATTCTTACATTCCAGAAGGTTCCCTTAGCAGAGGAAAGGGCAGCCCCTGCCCTGGATTGTGTCTAGGCACGTCGCTTCACCTCTGCTAGCCTCATTTTCCTCCTCTGCACGTGGGGATGCCGATCTGACCGCTCCCGTCCCCAGGGCTCTCTGCCCCCATCCGGCCAGCCGAGGGACTGCCAAGCACAGGGCTCCATGCACCCCCTGCTGGCTGATCATGGCTTGCAATAATCGTGTCCTTGCTGATTGGCTCCCAAAGTGAGCATGTAACCCATGCGGGCTGTGAGGTCAATGGCAGGGCAATCCTGCCAGCCACAGGGCGTTGCAGCAGAGCATGAGGCTAGTGTGTAAGGAGAAGCAGGGAGGCACAGAGATGAGGACAGGGAAGAGATGGCCCCACGGTACACCTGAGCCCTGGGGAAGCCTTGCCTGGAACCTCTCAGAACAAGCTGAGGCTGGTCTGATTTCTGCAACAGGAAGACGCTCGGTTGACGCAAATCCCTTTGTCCTAGGCAGAACAGATCAAGGAGAGCTTCCTAGAGGCGGTGGCATTTGAGGTGGGTCTTGGAGACTCGGCGGGGTTCTTTTTTTCCCCCCCTAAACATTCATCTATCTTGGAGAGAGAGAGAGTGCAAGCGGAGGAGGGGCAGAGAGGGGGACAGAGGACGCTGTCGACACAGGGCCTGACGCGGGGCTCGAACTCACGAACCGTGAGATCGCGACCTGAGCTGAAATTGGAGGCTCAACCGAACTTCCATGGCCGATACTGACTCGTGGACTTTCAGCCTCGAAACAGCCCTGGAAGGTCATGGTTGATTAGAACCATGCTCCAGGGGACAGGTGGGCAGGCTCAGGAGGCTCGGGGGCTAATTCGAGCACACAACTGGAGGGTGGGGGAGCGTGCACCGGAACCCGAGGGTGTCCAGCCCTTCCCTCTACACCAGGCCGCTGCTCTTGCTGGCATTGGGTACAAGGCCACCGTGAGGGCCATCAGACCCCAGCAGGTCTCTGCTGCCATCTGGGCAACAGGGCACATGGGCTCCCCACGGATAGCAGAGGGATGGCTCAGCTGAGCCTGCAGAGTTCGGAGGGTGGTCTGGTCTATACGAGCGGGGGTCCTGGAGGGCAGCGCTTCTTCTCCCCTTCAGCTCTGAGCTCCTGGGAGGCAGGGACCGTCCTCCACCCGCCACGACGGGCTCAGAGGAGGGCTCAGGATGAAGCGGAAGGAGGTGGCACACTCTTGCGCCCTCCAGAGTGTCATAGCCACTGACTAGACACCCCTGAGGTGCGGAGTGAGCTGCTTAGGATGGGCTGAGCCACGGTCACACACCCCCCAAGGGCACCCCATCCCACGGGGAAGGCAGAGGCAAGGAGAAAACACGCAAAGTGCCAAGACACAGGCGGAAAAGTCAGGAGGCTCGGGGCCAAGGTGGAGAGGGCCCTGAGGGCTTCCTGGAGGAGGTGGCCTTGAGTTGGGTCGGTAGTAACTTGAGGCGACAGGAGTGAGCTAGGTACAGTGTGGCCAGGATTCCAGGCTGCAGGAGCAGAGCGGTTGTGGAGGGGGGAGACAATACAGGGAAGCGTGGGACTGCCGGGGAGGGGGGTGGCTGGTATGTTAAATGCGTGGCAGGAAGTGGCTCGTGAGAGGCAGGACAGCTGAGCTCCAACCAGGACAAGCTGGGCGGCTCCTGTCCCTGGGAGCCAGGCGTCACCTGTTCACGAGCGCCCCCTGGTGGTAATGTGGAAGAAGGGCGTGCATCGGCCATGGCCAGGGGAGCCCCCAACACACACACACACACACACACACACACACACACACACACACACACACACACACAATCCCCCGTGGCCAGCAGTAAGTCCCTCTCCTGAGATTCTGACAGCCCCCACCCCAAGACCCACGGCCAGTGCTCGCTGGGGAACCCCCAATGTGTCAGGGTCTGAAGCTCAGGGTATCCCAGAAGCCCTGTCCTCCCTGAGGGTGTCTGGGGTCAGCCTGGGTGCAGCACCCGGAAGGAGTGCTGTGTCGGCCTGGCCTCAAGCCAGCCTTCTCACTGTTATCCAACTGAGCCCCTGTGACCCCCACGCTGGTCCCCGATTGAGAGCTGAGCCAGGTGAGCCCCCGGGATGTCAGCAGCAGCTCTAGGGGACCCCCACCCTGGACCCGGCGGCTCAGCCCCATGTGGGGCCAGCCTACATGCAGGCAGCTCCCTCCCGGCCCCGGCCCTGCGGTTCCTGGCCTCTCCTCACCACCCCCATCCTAGGGTCCCAGCGTGCCTGTCGCATCACAGGAGCTCTTCCCGTGACTGCGGCAGCACATGACGGATGCACGGCCCTGAACGACATTTGAACCAAAGGCTGCTGGCCCGCACACCACCCCTCCCCCCTGCACGGCGCTGGACCACAGGACAGGGAGGGGACGCCGGGCCTGCTCGGGCTGTGAAAACGTGACGGGCAGTGCTCTGGGACACAGTGTGGTCTGTATCCTGCATTGTCTGGTCACCTGGGCCCCTGTGCTGGGCCTTCCCGTCCACGCCGGCCCTGGGCTGAGCCAGCAACAGGGAAACAGGAACTCACATCGGGCCATCTCCCGGGTGGGTGGGCTGTGAGATGTGGCCGGGCCTGGGGGACCCTGCCAGCCCCAGAGGTGCGGAGCTGTGATGTGCCCGCCGCCCCGGGGGGCCCGATGTAGGGGAGCCGCCAGGGAGGCAGGTGCAGCCATGATGGGGGCGGAGGGAGGGTGTGGACCAGAGGCCAAAGTTCTCCCTGCCCCCACCCGTGGCGGTCCAGGGAACACCCCTCATCCTCGACAGCCTGGGGATGTGTGTGGCTAGGGCCCCGGCCTCGACTGTTTCCACTATCACTTAGGAGACCGGGGGGGGGGGGGTCCAAGTGGACGGCAGGTGTGGTCACAGGTTGTGACCTGGCTGTCATTTCCTGCCCTGGCCTGTGAGGGCTGAGAGCTCGTGGGCGCTGGAAGAACGGATGGGCCGCTTCCCACACGTTCATCCATCAGGCTCATTACCAGCGAGTTCCCCAGGATGCCAGGCCAGCAGCCGAGGCGCTCCCCGGCGAGGGGGCCACTGCCCCCGGGTTGGGGGTTACCTGTCGCTGCCGTTCCAGGCACATTCAAACTTGTCGAAAATGCAGTCGTTCTCGTACAGGGAACAGAGCTTGCTCCGCAGATAGTCGTGGACCTGGTGAGAGAAGGGGCCGGTGAGTCGGGGCAGGGGGCGCCCCAGCAGTCCTGGTCCCTGCTGCGAGAAGAGTGTCCCTGAGCAGGGAGGGGCTGTGCCCTCTGGGTCCGGATGGCCCCTCCAGCCCCGACTCAGCCCTGCTCATTGAGAAGGACCCACAGCCAGACAGGGGGACAGGGCCGACCCTAGAGGTGTGGCCAGAGGGGACAGCCGCAGTGACAAAGGGAACGATACCGTAGGGACCAGATCCACCCCTCCTCCCCCACGCTGTGTGATCCTGGGCAAGTGACGTCACCCCTCTGAGCCTTGGTTTCTTCCGCCTTGAAGTGACAAGAGCACATACCTCATGGGCTGTGGTGGGACCAACTGTAGGAGACTGTGTGGTGCAGGGTCATGCTCTCTGAGGATCAGAACAGTCACCCTGAGCACGGATCACGGGAGAAAGGGGAAGGGGAGCCCACACAGGCCTCTCAAACGTGATCTCGGTGCGTGTCACTCGTCCTGTTTTGTGGATGAGGCCCTGACACTCAGAGAGGGTAAGTGCCTGGCCCAGAGTCACACAGCTGGTAAGCAGAAGACCAGGACGCTCTTCCAGAGTTAGCTGACCCCACAGGAGAGACGGCGATGCCCCTGTGGCCCGGGGCCACCCGACAGCAGCCTCTGTACCCAGAGGGTCTGGTCGGTGCCCGCTCTCTGCCAGGCACGTGGCCCTGCCCTCTGCGTGGGGGGAGGGGAGGGGACAGCGTACCCAAAGCCTGAACTCCTGGCTCTGCCCCTTACCGTGTGACCCGGGAGTCACTTAGCCTCTGTGACCTCCAGGTTTCCCATCTAGGCAGGGGGTCACGGACCCCTCCAAGCAGACAAACGAAGGGCAAACACCGATAGGTATTTGGGACCCTGATTAACTCCGGAGGAACAGACAGAAATACGTGTTCAACTCCTGTTGGGCAATGCCACAGGCCAGGAGTCAAGTGTAGGGAGAGGAGGGGGGAGGAGGGAGGGGGAAGAAAACAGGTTCTGAGAACCTCTTATTCATCTTTAAAAAGATGGGCGCCCCCACCCCCTGCCACCCAGCAGCCTCCAGGGTCCCCAGGCTGAGTGAGGCTCTTCCCTCGGAGCGTCCAGTGCATCTGAGGGTCCTGCCCGGACTTTCTGTGTTTGTGTGGACCCCCTGCTCCCAAGGCTCAGCCCGGTCGTACAAGGTGACTTTCTCGGGTCTCGGCTGAGATGCCCCTCCTCGGAGAGTGCTCCCTCCCTGCCTGCCCACCGGCCCACGGAGCGGGCTCCACGGCCCTTCCGTTCCCACCGCCGCCTGCACTCTTGTGTGATGCCCTCCACACTCCGACGACGTGTGGATGCTCCCCTCCAGCGGGACCTGTCTCCCTGGGGCGCACAGCGGACCATCGAGCTGCCACAGGGGCGGGCAAGAGGCCCCTCGAGGCTGCCCCCTGCGAGCCCCCCGCCCCGGTCCCCCATCCTTCCCGTACAAAGGCCACAAACAACAGCAGCCCTCTCCACACCGCTCGTCGGTCACACCCCACATGCAGCCAGTCCAGAAGCAGAATCCAAAGCGATCTGGAACCCAGCTGCCACTCACCACGTCCTGTGCTGCTCCCTGCCCCGAACCACCGTCTCCCAGCTCACTGCAAATGCCTCCTGACTGCTCCCCGCTTCTGTGCCCCCCGACCCAGTCTGTCTCCACGGGCAACCCAAGAGACCCCTAAGAAACCAAGCTGGACCATGTCACTCTGCTGCTCAAGACCTTCCAGTGCTCACAAGCCCCCTAGACTCTGCCCCCAATCACCTCTCTGACCTCAGACTCTTCTTCTCTCCCCCTGCTCACTGTGCTCCAGCTGGTCCCCCACCATTTCCTGACCGCACGAACCACGTGCCCGCCTCAGGGCCTTTGCACTTGCTGTTTCCGCCCCTGGGAGCGCCTTCCCTGCCCCCGCCCCCGACGACTGATGCCCTCACTTCCGTCAGACTCCACACCCCTCCTTTCTCTGCCTCAGCTCCTGGTTTGTTTCATTTGCAGCCTGTGATTATTTCATTTGTATATTTCCTTGGTCTCTGGCCATCCTTCCGGTTGGAATGGATGCCCCTCGAGGCTGCCGTGGGAGCCAAGAGAGGAGGTGGGGGGTGGGGGCACTGGTCTTGTGTGTCTCCAAGACCTGGAGGGAGGGAAGCCTAAGGCAGGGATCACTGGCCCAAGCCTGGGATGGAGCCACTGGGTCAGGGACTCTCGCCCTCCTCCCGTGGTGAACGTGACGGGTGGGGAACAGCACCTGCCTCCACGGGAGCCCGCGCGGCCTCGTCTGTGCCGAGGCTGGAGGAGGAGTGACGCCCAGGGCACATTACAGCCCCAGACTGCCTCTGACGGGAAGCAGGCACGGATGAGGCTGAGCAGAGGACCCCTGACTGCTTGTGAGTCCCCGGGGAGGCCCCCGGTGACAGGCGCAAAGGCAGCCCCGGAGGAGCTTGGGAGGCAGGCTTACGAACACACACGTGAGAGGCACCAGGGGCTATGGAGGAGAGAGTGGAGACAGGGGAGAGACGCGGGAGGGCACGGCTATTTCTCTCAGACAGGTGCCTGCCTCCAGGAGCCTCCGCTCCCAGGGAGCCCCCTGGTCCACAGCCACACTGCACCCAGGGTCGCTGTCGCGCGGGACCCTGGAGGGCAAGGCTGCGGCTGCCACTTCTCTCTGAGGCGCAGGGTCTAGCCAGACACAGAGCACCTGCCAAATAGGCGTAACCCCTCAGATGCCTGGGGATACACGGTGCCTGGCTTCATGCCGGCCACGGACAGATTCCCAGGGGCTCATGGGCAGCCCCCCCAGGTCTGCATTGTGTGTGCTCCCCGCGCAGTCAGAGCGGCCTCACTGACGCACTCGTCCGAACACACAACACGCACGCATGCACGCACGCCGTTCTCACCCGCCCTCTCCTGCAAAGTGAGCGCCTCCTGCCCTCTGGTGGCAGAGCAAGGAAAAGCAGGGGCCCCGGGGAAAGACCGCAATCCCAGGTCTGCGCCTGGCTAGCTTCCCTACTCCTGCAGGTCTGCCATTTAACTCAACTTCCTCCAAACACAATGGGATAGAGAGAACCCTGGCCCCATTCCCGTGGGGTCTTACTTAACATCGTGCGAACTTTGTTTTCCACCCCCCGACGCTATCTGGGTGGATCGTAACAGAAAAAATAAAGTCGTAACTTTCCGGAAGGTGCCCCACGCTTCGGCCCAAGGGCCTGACTTGCGAGGCCCGTGCCGAGGACTGAGAAACGTAGCACGCTCCCAGTCGCCGCCGCACGCGCTAAGGAGGGGTGCTCCCCGGGAGAGGACGGGGCTTCTCCCGCCTTAACTGCAGACGCGGGCTCCAGGAGGGGCGACCTCATCCTTCATCATCTGCACCCTCAAACCGGGCCACGCCTGTCGCTCACCCTTGTCCCCCCTGGGCCCCGACGGCAGGAGCCGGCAAGGGGACGGCACTGCCCCCACCCCCGCCTGGAAGGCAGGCCTGGGCCGAGGTGTGTGATTGGGGACAGGCTTTCCGATTTCCCGAGCCTTCATATGGGGCGTATGGAAGCCACCTCTGCAGCGGGGACGCCCCTCCTGGGAGTTCTGGGCACAGGAGGCGGAGGCCGGGGGGGGGCAGGTCTCCCACCCCTCAGAGGGGCTCCGGCCGTGGCACCCACCTGGTAGGTCTCGATGGGCCTTGCCTCCATGTTAAGGTCCCAGACTTTGACCGTGAGGTAATCCCGGGTGAGCATGTATCGGCCACTGTGGCTGAACTTCACGTCCGACACGGAGGAGATGATTTCGGAGAAGAAGGAGCGGTTGCTGGGGTCCTCGGGCTCTTCGAACACTGTGGAGACAGAGAATCGATTGCCGTCACCGGGCCCCGCGGATCAGAATAACAGAAGACTCTGTTTCTGTCCTGGGCTCTCGCTGTACGGCCATTCATTCACTCATCAAGCCTGAGGCTAAATACCTGTCAGGCCGTGGCCCCGAACCGACCCTCCGAGGAGGGAAGGGGCAGCTTTCGGAACCACGTTTATTGAGCATTTACTCTCTGAGCCGGATTCTGCGCACAGCCCGTCCCGTGCATCACCTCGTCCAATCCCCTGATAAAACATCTGGTCGGTACCACTATCAGTCCCATTTCATGGCCGGGACAACTGAGGCATGGATGGCTAAAAACCACGTCCGAGGCACTGAGCTAGAAGAAAGTGGCCGAGTGGGGATTTGAACCCAGAGGGACACCCGCTGGGCCGCACTCTGCTGCCACCTACTGGCGTCCTGATGTTCACGCACGTGCTGGGCAGCGTCGGGGAGGAGGCTGGGCCCTGCTTGCGGCCGGGGGGCCTCTGCTCACGGTGCACCAGGCACTCACGGCTGAGCCCCGCGGGCAGCCACGTTTTGCCTGGCTGCTACGGGGATCGCGGCTACATCCAATCTCGCTGCCACAGATGAAGCCTGAGTCCCATCAGCTGCCCGCCACCCACCTCCCGGCATCTCAGACAAGGTGTTCCACGCAGGAAGTTGCTTCCCGGGCTCCTGAAGGCGACAGCTTGCCGCCCCTACTGGATGATCCCACTCTGGGACAGAGTGCACAGTGAGCGGCCCCCCAGGCAACGTCCCCTCCCTGCTGCCCCTGAGGACGGGGCCTTCGGGGCACATGGAGGTTCCCACCCAACAGGACAGGTTCTTCGGGGCTCAGTCTACTGCTGGCTGCCCCACCAGTCTGCCCAGCAACACCCTCGCTGGCCAATCAGATCCCACAGTGGCCCTGGTGCTGGAGCAGGGTGGGGACCAGGCATTACCCAAGCGTCACCTTAGCTAACCAAGCCAACCAAGCATTATTAGCTCCTTAGGAGCTGGGCCACAGAAGGGCCCGGGGTCACGGGGAAGGACAGAGTGGGAGGCCAACACCTCTTTACCAGCCAGTCTGGAAGGATTTAGACATTTGACAACCTTTCTAGCTGTCCCCACGGACACCGGCTGAGTGGCCACTCTGTCTGCTGGCCCCTGAGTCCCCACACCTGAAACACGGAAGCAGAGAGCTGACCACATGTCTCTGGAGGCTCACAAGAGTGCCCTCCCCGCCAGCCCCTCCCAGTCCCCAAATCCCATGTCCCACTTCCCAGGTCTGTTCCGGCCCCTTGTCCCCCCATCCGGGACCCCCGATCAAACTCCTGTTCCTGTCTTTCCCAGAAACGCAGCTCTTGCCGAGCTCCCTTCTGCACGGTGGCTGGAAACATTTCATGCCAGCCAGATGCTCTTGCGTCCGATGCATCCATTCATTCTCTCAGACACCCAGTCCACACCGAGCGCCCACCGTGTGCCGGGCACTGTCTGAGACCCTGAGATGCCACAGAGAGCAGTGAGTCTCCTGGAACCAACGTTCTCGCAGAGACAGGCAGGAAAACCACATGCTACACCGTCAGGCGGTGATGAGGGCAGAGAAGAAAACTAAAGCAAGGAGACAGATGGATAGGAGCTGGTGACCTGGATGGACAGCGCCCAGGGGGAAAGAGCATCTGAGCAGAGATCTGAATGGAGTGAGGCAGAGAACAGTGTAGGTGCTGAGAGAGGAGGACTCCAGGCAGAAGGAACAGCATGTGCAAAGGGCCTGAGACAGGGACAAGTGGAAGGTCACATGGACGGAGAAAGGAGTGAGTGAGGCGCCGTGAGCCAAGGGAAGGAGTCATCCCATAGGCAATGAGGGCAGAGGAAAAGGACGGCATGGCGAGGTGTGGGTTTCTCCAGGATTCACCTCCCTACGGGGGCAAGGAGACCTCCTGGCACGTCACCTTTAACCTCTAAAACCTCTGAATTCTTATTTTATTTTATCTTATTTGTTTTGAGAGAGAGAGAGAGAGCATGGGAGGGGCAGAGAGAGGGGGAGAGAGCGAATCCCAAGCAGGCTCCACACTGTCAACACAGAGCCTGATGTGGGGCTTGAACACCCAAACCCTGAGATCATAACCTGAGCCTGAAACCAAGAGTCAGATGCTTAACCGACTACGCCACCCAGGCGCTCGTAAAACCTCCCGATTTCTGATTCGCGTCTCACATAATCAATGGTTTGTGCCTCTGACACCTTCATTTCTGGCAGGGATAAGCATTTGTAAAATTTCAGCACTTAATTTCCTACTTGAAGTGCCGAGACGGTGTGTCTTCCTTAAATGAACAGGGGTATAAACCTGTATTTGAGAGGAGCAGGGCAGAGGGTTTCAGAGAAGAGCGACCCCAAACAATCAGCAGGGACCTAGGTGTCCCCCCGCCCCCATTCCTCCCCAGGTTCGAGGCAGGAACCCCCTCTTGACTGAATTAGCATTTGTGCCCCAAAGGGTCGGAACAGAAGGGGAGTTATACAGGCATAAAACGGGGTTGGTCTCTTGCACCCCAACTTTGAGGGGGCCCCTTGCACCCCATGCCCACTTTGGAGGTTTCTCTGGCCAATCCCCCAGGGCTGGCCCAGCTCGCTTCGCCCCCCTGCCCCGCGCGGGGCGTCTGGCACGTCCTGTGGGGTAGGTGGGTGGGTGGGGCCCCAAGTCAGAGGAGTGTCTACACAGAGCCATGGGCTGTGTCTCCTGCCAGCTTCAAGGAGCAAGA